GTAAAAAATATAATGTACAAATCAAAATATGTTCCTTAAAAATTATAATACTTATTTAATAATTTAATTGTTATAATATTCGTAATTATTAAATGCATTTAATTAAAATATCTTGTGATACAAACTCATAAATCATAAAAATTAAAATTTTTGTGCCAAACAGATAGGCCAATGAGACAGCAGTATAATTTATTTTTTTTGTACCTCTCGTGCAGAATGGTAATAATATTTTGCTACCCGGCGAGCTATGTCGATGTTTAGTGGCATGGCAGAGGCCATGGGTGGGGTGGCGAATGGGCGAGTGCATGCGTATCTGTACGGATATAACAATATTAAACAAGGTAAGTGCGTCGTCAACGGTGCCGCGTGTAATTCAATACGGACTGTCGGCAATCGACGACGACGATGGAAACGCAAGGGCGGCGGTGACGGACGCGCTATGACGTAGTGGCTACTGAATAATAATAATAATAATAATATGTATGTATATTTAATTCACAGCTGCAGGCAGCAGGTAATAGGTACACGTAATAATAATAATAATAATAATAATATCGTAGTCCCATCGGAGGTGCGTTTATAGTTTTAACGCAAACTGTACAGAGTGATTGCCCTGCAAACATACCCAACTTTTTCTATTCTTTAATAAAAATGCACTTGTTCGAAATCTGATCAGGTTAGGTAGTAACAATGTAGGTACTAGGTAGTTTTCACTAATTAAGCAGGAATGTCCCGTGGTGTGCTGTAGACTCGAAACAATATAGACTTCTGTTTATTTAATGAGAGCCCGTTTATTACTTGAAATTATTCAGCAGATATTCTTTTTGAGAATTTTGATATATCTAAATCAATATTCGAGCGAGGAGTTAGTTCCGAGTTATTAAATATTATGTACTTATAGGATAATAGGCATAGAAAATACGCAGGCAATGATGATTTAAAAATTATATAGTAATTATAACATTAATCCATCAACATTTTATGGTTTGTAAAAATACTCTGACTGTAATAAATAGTTGCTATACTATATTATGTCTATATCCAACATAACATAAATTTAATATTTTAATATTAATGAATTATGTAAAACCATTTTAATTTTTTACATAAACCATTATACGGTATTATCCGTATATAACCTATGTATCAAAATAACTCATTCGATCGAATTTTGATTTAGATACAAGTAAGTACATGTAAATTTAAAAAAAACCATCTACTGAATAATTTTAAGTGAAAAATTGGATTCTCATTTGAAAAACAGATGTTTGTATCGCAATATTACCAAAGGACATTCTAAAGTGGTACGAAAAATCTCAAGGAGTTATTCGAAAATACAGTGTTTAAGAATGTATATAAAAATACAAAGATCACATTTTAAATGACTGAATTACTCCATTTCCTATTATATTAAAGAAAAAAAGGGATGGGGATATGTAGGGGTAATAAAGGGTATGCTTAACAAATCTCCCTGTATACAGATATTAATGCATTCATAATAATATTTACTCTGTGGGTTTTATCTGCGTCCCCTATACAGGATAACTTACCTATATGCAGTGAATCTAGGACGTTTCCCCCCAAAAACGGGACAATTTCCTGCCAAAAATTAAAAGTAAATATATAAAGCAATATACAAATTACAAATACAAATAAATACATGTACCTAGGTACTATTTACGAGATTTTTCATAAAATAATTATATGTTAAATTAATGTACAAATATAATTCAGCATTAATACTATTACATAATTTTGGTTTATCAATCATTATCCATTAAATTGGGTAATAAATCCATAACGTGAATGATGACAGTCGATAAATCTGATCAAATATTTTGAGTAAAACCAAAGAAACTATTTTCCAATTTATTATCTACCGCTAAAATTCTAGAGGGGAGGAGAGGGGAGAAACGTCCAAATAGCATGTGCAGTCATGTGTCATTGGTGGCGAGGACTATGAAATCCGATGTTAAATTTTTTGAGATACAGTATTATTTTTTACACCCACGATCCACCCAAAGGGGACTAGACTAGTTGACTTATTGCCTTGTTCTGCTAGTATATTTACTAGTACACATACACGGCCACCCGTCAACCGTATTATATATAAATATTAATTTATGTACCTACCTCTGCATAAACTGTATGTGTACAGTGTGGCATGAGCATTCCTACTCTGTAGCATGTAGGTACCAGCCTTCAGATTGTCTAGGGAGTACCTAGCTGATGATTGCTGATACTTCTTCAAGGCGCGCTAGATGATTAGCTGTTGCAGGATGATATTAGATGGAAATCAGCGAGAAATCGGACTTTTAAAATAGATACTTTGATATTAAATAAAATAGATATTTTGAACACGAAAACCATACTTAATGTCTAAAATATTTTTTCATAGTTGGCGAGCAATAATTTGTGTAGAAAAAACGCGGCGAGACATATGTTTAGACTATATATGTATATACTAGGTATAGATTTAAAACAATTAGTTAACATATCATATACGAAGATCACGGTGCGTTTTCGCGTGGTAACTGTAGCCAGTATAGGTATAGCCGTATAGGTTAGGTATTCTCTGCGGCTGCTTATACCGTGACCACGATTCAAGATGATATTAAATAAAATATATAAGATTATCTTAAGACTAAAAACGGATTTCCACATTACACGTTCGCTTAAAATTTCAATCCTCAGCTATAATTGGTTAGTTAGGTTAGGTTACCACACGGTTACCACGTCGTTACCGTGCTATTAGATAGAGCTGAACATTTTTCGTGTACACCACACACGCGTATAATAGTGGAAACCCGGTTGAAGCTCGTAAGGGTAAGACCATGATAAATGTATTAATTTATATCAATGACTGTCGTCTGTAACTCACATAAGGTCGCTCGATGTGGGTAAATCATTAAAATTTAATACTGGCCGTTCGATATTGTGTCGCAGACAGCTAATGCAGTACCTAGGTAATGTGTACGATATATATAAAGTATACCCACATATAGCCATGTAGGTAAATCATTTTACCTATATGCAAAAAACGTTTCTGAGCAGAGACGGACGTCAGCTTGAGGATATTTTACTAAAATTTATTTTTTTATTGGTAATAACATGGGATGTATTATAGAACAAAATTTTGCCAATTTTTTTGGTATAGGTAGGTACCTACCTACATTTATTTACAAATTGAACACAACCTAATTCAGATGTATCATATATATTCGATGTGATGCGGTTACTGTTACTTACATTAAAAAGCTACCAATATTACAGCAGATGAGTGACTTCAACGGTTTTTTTTATTATTTTAAAGTTGGATTTGTTCAGTTAGGTATTCTTCAAATACAAAACTTATTTCAGAAGTGTAGTTTCTGGAACGTATTCATCAACAAAGATATAAATTATTAAATTAATGTATATTGTATACCCAAAAGAAGAAGTATCCTCATATGAAATAAGATTAAGTGACTTAAGAAGTCAGATGCAAAGCCAAAGCATCAGAATATCCGATGATTCATTTTAAATAATTTCGTGTTATATAGTCTATAGATTATCATACACATACACAGGCATCATTTAAGTTTTTGATGGGGAATAGGGGAATAGATATTATAACTGAAAATATATTTTAAATAATTTTGTTCTAATAATAAAGTACGATTATTGATTAATAGGCAGGAATGAACAATAAAGATAATAGTTTTTAGTGTTATCTTTTAATGACTAATATGAACTAAAATACATTGTTAGTAACCTGACGTAATCGGAATTTTTTCTATTTGATTATTGTTGATAAGAGAACTTATTAATGATTATTAATCATTTAACAGCTAGTTTAATAGCTATTATAGGCTGCAGCAAAGCATTCCTTAATACATAGAAAAATATAATTTACCCAAATTAGTGATCTTTATACATTTTTTTTGAAATATACTAATACTCTTTTTGCTGAAAATGTTGATACCACTCATTTTGTTTTTGATTTTTGTAGTTAACACCCTTTTAAAAAAAAAATCAATTACTTCATAAACATAATAGTTAAAAAAAACCATAATCATTCAAATTCAAAGTAAGCACACAAATATTTTTCGAATTGATCTGAAGATTTGAATATGTTGCTAATTGGACATGGTTACACAACCTATAAAGTAATTAATATTGCATAATATACTTAATAATTGACATAGATTTAACCAATTTATTTTAAAGTTTAACTTAACAACAATGAAGGAATATTGCTCTTTTATAAATTCTTATTTCCGATATTTTTACTGTCCTTACTGAGCCTCAACTATAATTTATTATATTGATTTACAAGTAAAAAAGTTGTAAATATTTTGGCACACAAAAATTATGAACTAATCAATGTAAAGAAATACATCCTTATCCAAACATTAAGACATATTTTTTTTTAATGTTTATTAGGTTATAAACTTATTTAGAATAAGATGTAATATTAATTATTTTAAAAACATTCAAGCTTAAATGATGTGGGAATGAGTATCATCATGGACTTAATGATATTATAATGTAAATTTTAAAATTTCTTTAATTTGTTAAAGGTATTTTATGATATTTGAAACTTAATTGAAAATAGAAAACCAATTAATAATTATTATAGGTTTTTACTTTTAAGCATTAAGATAATTAAGAATTCAAGAAGTATTATGTTTAGCAAACAATGATTGAAATGTAAATATAAGGTATTGTTTAAAAAATGTAATTTATATTTTAGCATTTTTCTCCTCATTGGCTTAGTAGGGTATAACTAATAATAATATTCACAACAAAAGGAGCTTTGTTCAAGATCATAGGAGATAACAAAGTACATTTTTGTATTTCTAACAAGTATTTGATAATATAAATTACTGCACACATAGAAATAATTAGTGTAAGATTTAAAAATTTATTCTTTCATTTTGGTACAAATTTATAACTTTAATAAATTAAGTGAGCAAAATTTTCTACAATTCAGTATTTAATATATATTATTCAATTTATGAGTAAATGGACGTTTAATTAGATTTTTACATAAGTCATGTTTCATACAAATATATATACGATTTATTATAACACCATTTGGTAAACCAATAGAAAATAATATTCAGTAAATCCTTGCTTAGTATAAGGGTTGTTTCTGAAAAAAAAAAATGTGAACTAAGACATAAAATAAAAAATAAGTTGTCAGTCAAAATCAATGTTAGAATATAGATTAAATCATTAAACAGTGAATGTCAATTAATAGTTGCTGAAAATTTAATCTAACAGGGCTGTTAAACGAGGACTTACTGCACTTGTTTGCAATGTGTGTATATAATATTATATTTTTAATATATTTTACTTGAGATGTGGTAAGTTCTCACAGTTTACAAATGAAAAAAATATGTGTACATTTATGAAATAAAAATTTTAAATACCATAGGTATCTATAATGAAGTTTATAGCATTCACATTACATTACATATGTGGATTTAAATATAATACAGTTAATAATTTTTCTTATTTCATATAATTATGAAAATAATAAAAAATACTCTCTAAATATGTCAGTAGCATAGAAATACATAGGCACTAATGCTAATTCAAATCTACTTTGTTGAACATTAAATGATTTGAAAAATCACTAGGATTAAATATTACATTTATTAAAACATGTTATGAAATTGAGAATTTTGAATTAATTATTATTTGTTTGACTGAGATGTTGTACGTTAACAATCCAATATATTTTGTAGCATGTTTAAATTGTTTCTTTCAGAAACCATGGACCTTGAGTTGATCAGACTTGGCAAGACCACATTTAGTTAACCATTGGCAAATGTTTTCTCGTTGGTCCCCTTGTAATTGTAACACTTCACCGTATTCAGGATGTTCAACTACTGTACCGTTGCAAGCAAACTCCTAAAATATTAACATGAAAATAACTGTAATACATAAGTTTATATAATACTGAAAATGTCTGAAATTACTTTTATTTTGGAGTTATGTTGTATCGTATTGTGCATTAAGAAATGTTCAGATTAAAAGGGTTGATTATTAAATGGAATTAAAATTATTTCTCTTTTAGTTAAGTATTGATAAAAATTATTTTTAGGGTTTTTAAACTGTAGTAATAGTATAACATAAAGAACAATTAAATAAATAGCTACTTAATATGTTGTGATAAAACTTATTTAATATTAGTTATTACCTTTTTGCAGGCCCGTACTATCTTCTTTAAGTCATATTCTGACGATAGACCTTGAACCGTTGTTAATGTTTTACGACCATTACGCTGTTGAATTCTTATGTGAACAAGTCCGTCTTGAACGTCATCGTCTGCACCCTTGATTGCATCAGCAAACGGGTCTTAAATAAGAAATATCAAGAATAAGCTATTTTGACATTCAATAGTCATAAGCTCCCCAGAAATCTCTATAGCTATGTGAGCCATTCAAAATTGTAGCACTCCCAAAATTTGAACTCTTGTTGTGACACTGTTCCAAATGAAATATTGAACACAAAATTTATTGAATAATAAAAAATATTATGTGTTACATTTTTTTTCTAATAATGGTATTGTGGATAAAAGTATAATCTAAATATTGGTAATATGTAATGTTAGAGGGGATGGGATCAGAGGCGAGCAGAGCCCCCCCCCCACGAATTTGTAAGTGATACAAAATTGTTGGAATTGTAGCACCCCCATGATTTCAACACTCTAGTAGCACCAGTGAGTACGTCACATAATGTTTAGTGTTAAATTAAAAATTATAATTGGTCTATAACTATAAAAATTAAAAAATAGCAAACGGTATAAAAAAATGTCATGGGTAGCTCTACTCGCATAGACATAGTTTTCGTAGTCGTATTGCCAAAAACAAAAAAAAACAAATGACGTCAACCAACACCCACAACAAGAATGCAACTGACCAGCAAAACAGCGGACAAAAGCACAAAACCCTGTTCGTTATTGTTTTATTCGAAGGCCATGTTAAAACAAGTTTGGCCTTAACACTCCGTGACGGGTGTTCACAAAGAAAGTGAGGCAGCGAGACAACGCCCGACTGGGTTAACGCTACCGGAATCGGAATACTTCGCAAAATACCTAATTTCTGCGTCGGATGACGTGTCCTCTTATGGGCACCACTTAAAGCGTTTCAGGCTACGAGCTCGAGTAACAATCCTCGTACTTACCGAATACGTTGAGATTCTGGATTGACATGCGTATGTTCGTATCTCCTGTGGTAACGACTGGTCTCTTGGAATTCCACTTAACTATAGGGGACGTAGTGAACGCTTGGAGTCTTGTGACAGTTCCGGGTTAAACGGCGAAATAATCAGCAAATTGAATAGGATTTAGAGGTGGCAGGCAAACGAACAAAAACGTTCAGACGACAAGGTCCGACGGTATTGCGAGTAACTGCGAAGTCAACAAAAGAGAGCAAACTAGCCAACTAGCGAGTAGCGAGCCAGACAAAAAAATTGAAACAACGAACGCAGATTTATTAATAATTATATATAGCACGAAGACGTCACGAGAATAAGGTGATTGTGAATAATTGTGAAATTACGCGGAGTAGGGGATATGGTATTTATCGTGGGAAGTACAGTGTGTACGGGAAGCGTAAGAAAAAAATGGTGAAAAATAATCGTGGCAATCCGAAGGAAGAATAATATTAGAAGGGTGAAGCCGTTGCGAATGGGACGTTGTTTTTTTGCCGTTGAACAGGCTGACCACTACGCCGTCGGCTCATCGAGAAGTCCAAGGACGTTGTAAAGATGGTATCGTCGTGGCAACGTCACAAAGCCGACTGTGGCGAAAGCGCGCTCTCAATATTTGTTTAAATCATGTTCTATGCTTTAACTATGACTTTGATAAAAGATATTTTCGTTTAAACTTTAAATCGTAACCGAAGTCCTTGTTGTTATCCGGAAATAATATTATAATATTCAATAGTCAACGTTACAATTGTCACAGATTAGTGTAACCAAATGTCATTTATTACGATGACGCGGACAACGGTTTCGTTTCCTTCGACTATTCGACGGATGAATAATTAAATTTACCGGATAATAATCCTATGATGCAATAACAGTTTTCTAACTACAGTTTTTTTTAAATCCATACTATATACCACAATAATCGATTTCGTTAAGAGTTCACGACGTCACTGGATGGCGAACTGTGTATCCTTGTTCAAGCGTGCAGTTTGGTGAAAAAATAACATATCTAAATAAAACACAATCTCTTGGCAGATCGCGTATTTTGAAGAGTGAAGACTAAAGCTAGTAAGGAGGAATTGTTCATGAAATTAATAAATAATAAACAATAAATAGTTATTACAATTTACAATATCAAAAAACCACTATGTACAGATTGATAAATCTGACGACGATGAGAGCATAATTACGAGTGATAAATTGTATAAAAAATAAACTATTTTAAGAAAAATAATTTACTTACCTATATTATGTACTTGTAAAAGAAAATTATACATGAATTATATTTACCTATTGTTTATAATATATTAGGTATTTACCTATTATAGGTTATAGCAGATATGTATACAAACTTTTTCATCCCACGGCTCCTTTGAGTCTTCACAAAATATTGACTTCTCCCAAATTATAAATGACAAAAAAATCAATGTTTATATGAATGTAATTTGTATTTTATAATATTTATCCTAATTATTTATTTATCATACTACATATATCAAAAAATATATATCTACAAAAGCTATATTTAGTGAATGATTATTGTAGACAATTCAACGTTTCCTAACCGGTGTGCATCAATCATAAACGTTTTTCTTAAAAATATTTATTTGTTTTCAATTATAGGACGCGGCTTTCTTCGACAACTCCCGCGACGCCCTTGCGACGCACAGTTTCAATACCTCTGGGTTATAGGTACCACTGGTGACTAGTCACTACTGAAAAAAGTGTTATCAATACATTTCAATACATTTTTAATAAAACTCGAAAGGTGACAAAATAATTTTTTCGTGTTAAAAATTATAAAAAAACTCTTCAGTGTTTTTCAAAACAATGATGATTTGTTTAGGCAATAGTTAATTATGTATCCGTCACGTTTTTTTGTAACATTACTCATTACTCATTATAGTCATTACTAATTAGTCATTAAGTAATGTAAATTTTAACTAGGAACTACGCTATAAATCGATGTTTAATATGTTACAAAAGTAAAGTTGTTACCTACTTAGGTACTTAATTTGTCTTAAAAATATTTTTTAATTATAAAATAATAACTAAAATCATCATTCTGTGTATAAATATTTAAACTTCGTCCAAATTTGAACATGACTTTTTAATGAAAAAATGTCGACTATGTATTTTAGATTCTGAGTTTAGCGACGAATGTGTTGATTTTACAATGATGTATGCTTTTATATTTATTTTTTTTTTTGTGTGTTTGTCATCACGGTTTCTTGCAATAAAAGTGCTTCGATTTTCCTTAACAGCAATTTTTCTGGTAAGAAAGTGAATCTAGTTGATGCATGCGGGAGGTCAAAATTTAAAATGTTCAATAGTTTTCAAAAGTAACAGGAAAAACAAAAAAAAAAAATTAAGGAAAAACGGGAATTTTTACCGAAACCATTTTTCGAAAAAATCGATTTTGCTTTGTAGTGTTACTCTAACAAAAATGACAGTAGACACATGCATTTTTCACTGAATAGTTGTGTAAGCATTAAAAATACACTATAAAACTTTGATTTGTGTTGAACCATTCATAGGCAATAGGCATATTACATTTTCGAGTATTATTTGTTTTTTTTAAACTCAAGTCGGTAAAAAAATGTTCACTATGTCAAAAAACTTGAAAATTTAATATAAGGTTCCATGTAATTTGTTGTAAATTTGAAGTTGAAATTTTTACAACTTTGGATATTCACTCGATTTCTCTTGCAACGATTTTATTATTTTGTTGAAATTCAATAACGAACTACTGTAGACACTTGAAATTTATACCAAATGTTTATTTCATCAATTCATAAACTTGATAATATTTTCAAAATATTTTGACTCGTTTTCAGCTGTTGACAGACATTTAAAATTTTAATTTTTTTCTGTAAATGTCAATAACATTTTATTGGTTGAGTCAAAAAGCATGAACATTTAATACAAGACTCTTGATAACTTTTTACAATAGCAGTTGAAAAATATTAAAAATATATAGTTATGATTTTTTTTTATAAGCATTTAAAGTTCAAATTTTGACAATATTTTTCAAATTGAAAATTGAAAATGATTTTATTGATAAAAATGTATAACATTTTCAATTTTCATAGCTAAGGATTGAAAATTATATATAATATATTATGATTCCACTTAAGTAGATTTTTCGGTCATTAAAAAATCTAAAAAATATATGAATACATTTTTTTTTACAGACATTGTAAGTTCAAATTTAGATAAGATTGTATATTAACATACAAAGAATAACGTTTATCATTTTGTTGTAATTCGGTTCCAAAACAGCCCAATATTATATTAGTATATTTAATATTTTTCCAGCATCACTGATAATTTAAGCATACCTAATGGCTAATATTAATTCAACTTACCGGTTACCATATTAATAATAAGTAATAACAATATAAAATATCCTAAACTGATATGCCGTCTCCGCTAAGAATCGTTTTTCGGGTATTATAATGATTTGATATCATTGAATTCAAATTTAATACCATCCATTACATCGACCTCTTAGATACATAATGTACAGCAGAGCGACATCCACTTACCCTCTTTTTTTTTAGTTACAATGAGCTATCACTTCGCATAACTTAATTTAAAAATATTTTTGTACAGACATTCGTTATTATACAGCCCTAATAATTATGTAAATTAAGAGTACCTACTATAAATATAAATATTTAATTTTGGAAAATTATTATATGTTAGCTGTCCAATCAAACTATACAAGTTTAAATGATACAATATTATAAAATGAACAGTTTAAAATGTGTAAGATGTTCAACATTTATTTATTAAACATCTATGTTCAAAAGTTACCGGAGTCTTTTTGAGGGTCAATTTTTATAATATTTTATTAAATAGGTACTTATCTATAATGTTATAATTATTAATTGTTAAACATAAATATTTTATTATTGTTAACTACCTTTTTATCAAAGTATTATTATACAACTATGGCATGGAATAAATGAATTACCTGAACATTTCAAAATTTAAGTTTTCACTAATTAATGTAGGTACCTATTATATTTTTATTTTTAAAGAATAATTCATATTAGGTACCTAATAGTTATCGTTTTTCCTATAGTGATCATTCTATTGAATACTTTAGTATTCATATAAATTACATAATATAGGTAGCAGGTAGGCCAAGAACCATTTTACAATGATGCATTTTTTTTTAGTATCTGTGTGTGTAGGTTACACAATTTATATTTTATAGTAGAAAAGTTGTTTTGATTTTCAACTTCAATATCTTTTCTGGTAGGAAAGTGAATCAAATTTTTTCTTTTGGGAGGTCACAATTCTTTTCGAAATACCCAGTATTTTTCAAAATATTTGTGTAAAACAAATCATGGGGTAAACTCGAATTTTTATGCAAACGCCATTTAGTGTTAGTGTATCGTGCGATCTACCAACTCATCGTTTTTAGAGTAGCATGCGATCCACCAGCCTGTTTTTGGTGAACGCCATCTGTGATCTGTGATCTGTGATCTGTGCATATTTGTTTTTTTTAAATTACAGCAGTGTACACTTCATGACACAAGTTATACTAAATCGATGATCGTTTTGTTGGATCTTCTAGTACAGCTACCCGAATGAGAGGTAATTCGGTGACAAACATGAACACTATTTCCATAATCTCGCACAGTGTTAGATTACAGTATTACACATCACTCTGCCATTGAGGTCCGTTAAGTGAAAAAAAGCATTTCCTAATGAAAAGTTTGACAATTTTTTTTTGGGCACTCGAATATAGGAAAAAATTCACCATTACGGTTCTTCTGTCGTCTTTCACTCATCTATGTGCCACATTTATGGCAAGCGTCAATAATATTCACATCTGTTAGCAGTAGGTGTTCTCGTATAAGAATGCAGTGTACGCTTGCTCTGAATTTGCTGATAAAGAACTGGATAGTAATGCGGGTAGATCAGAGGTAGAGCATCACATGTAAGCGGTAGATCGCACGCTACACTAAATGTTTATATTATAGTATTTCATATTAATCATATTTATGGTAAAGTTTCAAAATTGTTTGCAGTTGTTCAAAATTTGTAAAAATCACGAAAACTTGCAAATTATTTTGCTAGAAATTTATAAAACTTTCAATTTTTTTATAGGTAAAGCTTACAAATACAAGACAGGGTTCCTCATAAGTGATCTCATCAACAACAAGATAAAAAATAATTATTCATAAAGGTAGTCAATATAATAGAATATAATATAGTCACAATTTTGTATAAGCATTTAAGTTTTAATTTTTATAAAATTGATGATGGTTTATGAAATTGACAAAATCACGTGAATATGTAAATTATTTTGCAGATAAAAATACATAAGTAGCATAACATATTTAATTTTAACACCTAAGGTTTGAAAATTTAACATAGGTATTCGATTCCCCATAATTTTTTTTATAAATATAACATTTTTTTTTTAGCAAAAAGCCATATACTTTTTTATTAGTGACTGAAATTCAAATTTAGACGATAATGAATAACTACACATAAAACAATAATTTTTCCTCGAATGATTTTTGATATTTTGTTGTTATTCAAAAAATATTAATCGTATCCCGTAGAAATTTGAATCATTCTACTATAATATCACTTAAATAATGAATAATAATAATAACGTAATAATTTGGTGAGCCCACTAGCTCGTACTGCTGTATTGGCGGGGAAAGAAGAAGGTACCACTTGATACAATATATCTATGGACGAGGAAATCCGATGCCGGCAAGTAGCCGTCTCCGGCATCTACCACAAACGGTGCCGGTGCTCGTTATATTATGTATAATCGATACCTACGCAGTTATTTCACGGTGTGTTGTGCGTGTGGGTGGTGATGCGACTGCGGGTGGGTGGATTAGTGGGCCGGTGAGTATAAATTCAGGAGTGAGAGAGAGCGCAACGGTCGGACCGCTGCCGGTGGGAGGGAGGATAGAAAAAGCTTGCAGGCGGCGGCGGGGTAGTGATGCTTTTGGCACGGGTAGGTGTGGTCACACCGTTGTCTCCATCTTGTGCCAGGAAAGTTCCGGAAACGTCGGTTGGTTGCGCAGGTGGTCGATACCAACTTCCGGTTGGCCCTACCACCATTTCCATAACAAAAGCTTCCCGCTCCACCTCTTCCCACCTCCGCACCACACACGTGCTTTGCCACCGTCTTCTTACTCTACTACTGCACGTCCTATCACTCTTTCTCACCCTCCATGTTCATATATATATATTTATATAAAATGTATACACACGCGATGGATATAACAGTAGCTGTTGTTAATCTTACACGCGTGAATTCTAAGCCGATTCCCGCCTCACCTGGGACAACAACGAGGGACATCCTTTGTATTCTTCATTTTCCTGTTGGTACTTCAAGAACTTTTTCGACGAAACTATATAATATATGCTGTATAACCCCAACACGCTAATGGTAAAAATATTTGCGAAAACATCAAACTTGGAATTATTAAAAAAATCAATTCATGTGAATTTATTTTCTTGTTGAGTTTTTAATAAGTATCATTGATTGTTATAAGTAATAGCTAATATTGTAACTTGTTTTTAATCTTTTAAGTTTAAAATTGAAAGTATTAAAGTACTTAATATCTAAATATTTTATAAGTGTCTATACAGATTCCAGGTTCATAAAATATACTGTTTTAGTTTTTACCTACTATACAATAAATTTCAATTAATTCAGAACAATGAACATTTTTTATTAAATTAAACGTGTGTCGTAGATATTCGTTATTTGTTTTATAGAATATACTGTACCTGTAGACTTTTTCGTATTTTTATTTGATTTTTGTAATGTTAGTAGTTAGTACGCATAACTAAGAGTACAATAATATCATTATATATCAATATTCTATACATTAGAGTACATATTTTATACATAACAATATAGTTAGAAATAAATTTCAGAAATGTATAAAAAAATTAATGATAATTTGTCACTGATAAACTTGCATTTTTTAATGCATGCGTAATATAAAGTTTGTCATCAAAAATTCTTCAAAATGCTAAACAATATTATAGTACTTGAATTGTTTTAATTTACATTTAAATAACAAATTATTCAAACGAGTAAACGACGAGTAGTGATTGGTCTTATAAAATTATTCTATTGACAAAATCACAAAATTATGAAACATCTCAATGGGATATTCGCTTTAATCACTCAAAATATTATACAGAAAAAGAATTTAATTTAGATCATATAGGTACCTTAGTATTGTAAAATTATTATTCCATTATGTCGATAAGAAATGTACATTAGGTGTGAGTGAATTACTTCCTCCTCCTGCCATACTTATGATTAATACAATGCGAAGTTTTGTGGGACTTTTTTTTATAGCTTCCGAGGGTAAAAATATCAAGTAGTCGAGCTCATGCATATTCATTGTTACTCGGTTCTAAACTACCCATTTTAATGTTCATGCTCAACAAACGGAGAAAATCTGAACAATATATTCGTCGTGTGGTGGTGGCTCATGTCTTCAGTTTTTCCTTCGTTTCCGGCCTCCCCCCTTCTTCCGTCATTGTTCCACGCGGCGTTTGAAATTATTCTTGAGAATAACCCTCTTACGTTTGTATACAATAACACATAATATAATATAATATGTATTTTATACACATATATATTACACAAATATACATATATTATGTATATATGTATGTGCAATTTCAGCAAGCTTCACACTGACTGACTATTCTAAATACATTTATTAATACAATATTGTGCTTATTGTACTCAACATTTTAATTCTGAGATAAATTCAAACCTTTTATTTTATCAAAGATATTTGTGAAGAATAAGTATATAAGAAAATAGAAAAGTTAGAAATAATTAACATAACAAATTAAAAACACAGTATAATAATGGTTTTATTTTGTTCTCCAATGTGGAATTGTATATTTACAATGTGTAACGTCATCATTGTATTATTTTTGATACTATTATAATTAATGTAATGATCATATATATATATATATATAATAGCGTATAAGACTAGTTTTAATGCCTTCTATTAGTATAAGGCCTGTACAGAGATTAATATTACATTCATACAAATTAAACGTCTAACTAAATATTCTTAAATCTATAAACAAAAATTTATAATAATGTATATTGCACTTTACTTTTACTTTAGCACAAAGCTAAGTATTTTTAGTTCCTTAATATAAAGTATGTTATAATACATTGAAATTTAAAACTTTTTTTATAAATAATCTAGCTATGATAGATTGTCATAACTTATACATTAGTATCTAACAAAACATATGTTGTACTATACTTGTACAATCATCATGAGTTAATATTTATTATTTTTTAATAATAACAAACAATGTTGTTTATACTTTAAATTAGACAAATTAGGGGATTGTTTATGAAGAAACGAGATCTGAATTACCAGTTTTAATCACAAAATGACTAAAATAATTGTTGTAAAGTGTCAAATAATATTGATATTCCAATAAAGTATTCTGATAAATAGGAAATAACAATTAATAGTAGGTATATTAACATTTTGTACTTGTAAATGCTATTGGAATAATAATTTTGGTTTTTCATTGATATACGGAACAAATCTTTAATACATATTATCATTATATACAATATACATCTTTGATATAAAATAATTTACCTGAGTGTTCAGTTTGTTATAGTTGCAAGCATTTAAATTTGTTTGTATAAAATAAAATAATAATACTTTTGTTAAAAATCTGTTTGTACTAGTCGTCTTTAAATATATTTATTTTATGATTATTTTAGTACAGTAGGTGTATATTTTATTTTTCAATAAAAATACGTACATTAGTAAGTCGGCTTCTTATTGTGGAGACTGGAGAGTTATGTATGTAATATTTTAAAACTAATATTGTTAAAGGATGAAATAAGGATGTATAAGTTTGTACTTGAATAGAATTATCACCGGCTGTATAACACGTAACATACAGTATCAAATGATTTATATACTATACCCATTTTATCAGTCAATTGTTTGTTAGGTTAGGTTAGCATAGGTTAGTGAAATTTATAGTTACAAATATGAGTTGATAATAAAAAAAGGTTAACAAATTAAAAACGTTACAACAATAATAAATAGTAAACAATTAAGAATTTTTGCCTAAAAAGTAAAAACAGTATCATATTCACATAACCAGCTAAATAAAATGCATTGTTTTTAAAATCCTAAAAACTGACCGATAAAACTAAAAGTAGCAATAGTACGTGTAATAATGGCCTATCTGTGTATGCACTGGGGAGTACGTAGTTTTACATAAAAATAAAAATTATTGTTTTGGTGATGATCGCCGATCGGTGATGGGTATATTCAACATGAGAAATTTTAGTTAATATTTTTGTGCCGGTGTACGGTGTTGATACGAGTTGATTGTCACGAGCTCATAACCTGTGTGTGTGTGTGCCGGTGGTTTGCGTCAATTTTTTTTTTATAAGAACTCCTTTAATAGGTACACTAAAACTATCAACACATAGCGGTTGCACAGATTAAGGGTATTTTTACAATTAAAATCTGTTTGCGGACAAAGAAATTAACATGCGTTTTTGTAGGTCCTTTTCTCCACTCCCGGTAGTTCCAAACCGAGTCTCTGTTGTATAATTATATTGTATTATTATCATTATTATTATTATTATTATTATTATTATCGTTATTCCTACATGTGGTACGATTTAGTAGAACGGTTTGAAAGTGGATTTACGTTTATGCCCGCTTATTATAACGAATGAATGCTGAGATAAATTAACCACATAAATGGTGTCTAGGGGTTGTTCATTCGATGGGCTTGTATGGATGTGGCGGCGGCCGGGCCGTGGTGGTGCCGGGCAGCGACCTGGCGGCCCAGTGCACGTCCGATGGTCATGGTGACGCGTAATGCGAATAGTTGGCCAAGTGCGGTGAGACTCCCGTGTGGTGGCTGACTCCGGTGCTTGCACCTGGGTGGTGGTGATGGTGACCCATCGAATGCGACGCCGACGCAGCGGCAATGTTCGAGTAGAGGTTGGCACCTGGGTTGGTCCAGTATGACGACGCTGATGGAAATATGCTACCTGTAAAATGCAAACAAATAGTGCGACGCGTTTAAGTTAAAATAGTCTATAAATAGTGTCATGTCTATAAATTTTTGACCCACCCTTTATATACCATATCAATGGCATTTGTAAAGGGGTGATGGGTGAATCGTCTCTTAAGTTCCAAGACCCTTTTCGCCCAAATTGACCCTTCCCTTTTCACCCGAGTATTAAAAAAAAATTAAGATACTGTAATGTAGGTACTGTTAAATAATTCAAGGTTAATGTGCAGGGCTGAGGGGTAGTCTTCGTATATGGTGGTTGCCGTTCACACAGATCAGATGGAATATGTATACAGTATATTATTTTCTATGAGCAATTTTCATCACGTTTTCAAAATGTCAGCTAATGGAGTGGTCCTCCATGCCAAAATAATTAATATAACATTTGTTACATGATTTAATGATATACATATACGTACATTATACATACATATAAAATACAATTAGAGAAGGACATTATGCGATGTATTATATCAGTATATAGGTCTACACAGTTTAAGGTATCTATTTTCAATTTATATTTAAAAAAATGAATTTTCAGTTAAATGAACACGTCAATGTTTTGAATAGGTTTATATATTAAATGCTTACATAGAATACGTATATAAATACACATATGTTACGGGTTGCGCAAAGAGGGATGGTCGGAAATCGACATTCATTATATTAAATGCACACCAAATCGGACAAAGTAAAAAAGTAGTAATAATTGTATACTATTACAATGTCCGGACATGTTGAATTGCTTGTCATAACTGTAGGGCGTGGGCAATGTAAATTTTACCGTACAAATTATACTCTATTTGAATATTTTACCAACGATTAATTTAAATTGTGAGTGTTCAGACTGTATTTAGTAACTCAAAAAGCCACTATAGTAATTTACGTTACATATATAATATACGTAAAGCGTAATTTTGAACATAATTGTTATTCACTAAATTAAGTGGAATAGTTTAAAATTAATATTTAGAACAATATTATCAGGTATAGCTGAGATTTCACCATTACAGGTATACTACTATAGTACTATATATTAACATTTTGAATTTTTACAAAGAATGTTTTGAAAGTCGTCTTAAATTTAGTCGTTTAAAAGTCATAATTATATACCTACATCACTATTGCACATTACTCAAACATATTATTAAATTATTATAATTAATTAATATATCATATACATCTATATTTTATACATCCTACGATTAATTGGTTTTGTTTTTATCCATATAGTATTATTATATATTGAGTAACTTCAAATAAATTCTGAGCTGGTTACGATACCAAAAACACATTTATCGAATAATAAATACGTTAAATGAATCGCTTCCTTTTTATTATCGTAATTGTATTTGTCTGGAAAAATAATGGAAATCAATGTTGCTAAATATTAAGCACCGGAAAAACATATAAACCAAAAGAGAAAATTTCATTATTGCAGAAAATGTATTTTTCCCATTGCCGACGGGCAAGCGGTTTTAACCGAGGGGTTTCATTCCTAATATTTCACGGGTTATTGCAATGAACAAAACCCCTGTTCGGTGTTCGACCGAAACGACCATATTGACAAATGAAATTACAAACTAATGGATTTCTTGAAATTGATTTTGTTGTTCCTCATTTCGTAATAATGATATTTCAGTCAAACTACCAGATAAACTAGACATTTTACTACAAATTGCAATTTTAGTTTTGTAATGATAAAAAAAAATATATTTATATATTATATTTAATATGAATTATGGGGATGTCCTGATAATAAATAACATATCATTTCTACCATGATGAGAAAACCGAAGAAAAAATGGGTTTTCTATACATTTATATTCTCAGTCAGAGAATAAAATCGTTTTAAAAAAGGAATAGTAAATGGCGAACAATTAATTAATTCATATATTATTATATAAATATATTGTATTTAGTTATTAATAGAACCGTAATAGGTTCCACATGTTATTCTGCGACTTTTAAAATTATCACATTTTTTCTTTATAAGCATAGCATAATATAGGGCATTCTTTTTTTTTGATTATATTTTTAACACATTTATTATATAGGAAATAATTTGAGTTTTTGTTTAATTATATATTAACGATGTTATATAGCTCATACACCATTAACGACTCATTAAATTTATTTCGTCAGAAAAAGTCAAAATATTCTTATTGTCTTGAATTCTAAGCGTTTTTTAAAGACGTATAGAATTACAGAGATGGTCATTGTAAAACTAAACGAGTTGTACATATTTGTATCGTTATAGCATTGACTGTACGTCCTGTACGACTTTTTTCAACTGTAGCGCTTGGCACACTTATTGACAATATTTTTTATGGTACATAAGGTGAGCTGTCTCCTAAAATATAGGCTATATACATGTATTACACGTACATTGTAAGTTGTTGGTACTTAATATGCTATGTGTATGTGTGTGCGTGTACTTATATACAGAGATATCGTAAGGAAAATGTTCCCATGTGAATAAGAAGAAAAAAAATATCGAATACACCCGGTGCACGTGCTGTCTCTCACGTGTGCAAGCACTACGACTCGAAAGTTTTTTATGCGTCGCGCCCCACTAAATTTGATTGGGCGGCAACGTTCGTACAATATTATAATATGAGTATATATGTGTCTAATACCTATGTCATGACGTGGTTCGCAGTTATATGGTCGGGCGGCCGAAAGTTCCTAAGAGCCGCGTGACGACCCATATTTTTCAACGCCGACCCCGTGTCTCCGCGATTGGGAGCGTGTCGCTTCGGGTCGATCATCATTTGTGGGCGATGTTTAGATTTTGTAGCGGGGAAGGTCGGTGGGTGGAAGTCAGCGAAACTGTCGCGAACACCGCGGAGAATCATCAACACCGAACCAGCGAGAGAACGCGCGCGCGCATGTTAAGACGACGGCGACGGTCGCTACATTTTGTTTGGGTAACCCGCGCTCGTCGTCCGGGTGTTGAGGAGTTTGCTTACGGCCCCCGCCGGGGCGTTTAATAAACGCTTTGCTCCCGGGGAACCCGTGCGTATACAGCCTCATCGGCGGCGGCTGGCGGAGTGCGCGCTATCGGTTCGGCAGCGCCAAGCAATTTCCGGGAGTGACGAAAGCTCGTCCGCGATCGCTTTTGTCGCTCTCTGCCTCTCTAAACACACACACACACATATTTATGACTCACCGTTCCCCGCGTTTCTCTCGTTTCGCACGACCATAACGTTCAATATACGCGTGGCCGAGACGAGACGCTTTGCCGCAAGCACTGTATTCGTCGGTTAATTTTTTTTGTCCCCCACCCGCCCGTGAGAGTTACACGCGTGATGTGATATTACATATTGCGTTTTCTACTGCAATGCAAGCAGCGAGAATTTTTTTTTTATGTGAAGCAAATATTTAAAATGAGTACACACCTACAAATTGTTCTTGTGCTGACTCTCACCTCTTCCCCCACCCCACCAAATCAAATTCATAAAAGAACATATACTATTTGTAAATTAAAAGCGAGTATATTGTTAAGGTATCCACCCCCCCTTTCATATGAAGCGGCTGCTTCTTAAAATAACTATTCTCGCCACCACTGCAAGTTGTATTTATCGCGATATGCGTAATCTGCCGTGCGCTCCCGAATTTCGATCGTAGTTGTGCTGGGGACTTATAATTTTTTTTGGTTTTGATTTTGATGTATAGGCTCAGAGTGTATACAGTTGTGAAGTACGTGAGTCGTAAAAAATACAAATCAATACAAATTTCCCAATCATATTAAATACACCACATTACTTTTATAACTGCATTAAAGTTGTGTAACTTTTGTATTTGCTCATCTTACACTAAATATAAGTATTTATTAGTCTATTTTTTGAAAACGAGTAAATCTTAATTCTATTACATTCGCATCGCATTACACGTCGCGTATATTTCGTTATACACTCCTTTTCTACACGAATCGTAGCCGTTTCGTCTGCTGCAGTAGTGCAGGATATTGCATAATACAGCAGCTGACTGACGGCATCGCATTCGGCGCGCGCAAACCTAACATCGAGCGAAACCACCGGCGGGCATTTCACATAAAATAACCTACACAGTGATAATCCCATTCGTGCGACGTCAATGACGGAAAATATTTTAACATATTATATTGTTTTTATTGTACCGTCGTATAATATTATACGATACGACACGACGTAACGTTTGCCGGACGATTAACGTCGATTCACTTTGGTGACGATGCGTGTATAATAATAATATATCATATATGTAGTGTATATATACCAAAATATAGTAACGGTGCGCAACGGAGCGAAAAATCACTGGATACAATGTCTTCGAGGGCGTCGTCGGTGGCTGTCGCACGCGTAAAAGTATATAGCGAGTCGCATACAGGGCGCACACACACATTGAAGGGTCCGCAGCTTTGCAGCACAGCAGTCATTAAACGCGGCAAGGACCGAACGACGACGGCGGCGGCAGCGGCGGCAGGGTCATTAAGGGCCCATTGTGGACGGCTAATGAGACAGACGATTCGCTTCGGCGTGTATAAATATCGTCGCTGGGTTTGCACTAAATCTCCGGCTCTTAATGTGCGCGCGTGGGGTCCGCCGTCGGTGACTTTACATTATATAATATTATACCATAATATACTGCTATATGTGTGTATATACTGCACGATATTATGTGTATAGTATACGCGAGCTCACTGCAATGTTCCCGAGGAGGGTCTAATGAATTCCACGACCGCGACGGCTATAATACGGCTATATACTCATCATCCGTATAAATCACGTGTTGACGATATTATACCATCGTATATTATCACTCGCGTCGTATATCGCGATGGTTACGTTTTTATATATTGTATACTTTAAGTAGGGATGGAATCTCGAACCCTCGAACCCCCGAACTTTGAGAAATTCGATCGCTTGCACGGTGATAGTTCGTTAGAAATTAATACGGGAAATCGAATGATTCGAACTCATAGTTACATGCAGGGTTGTTGCGAAAGAATGGTTTTGAGACACGGTGTGTCTAGCAGGACACCAAAAATATTCAAGATTGTATATATTTTTAAATATGACTTTTTTTATTTATCATGTTTTGACGCTTTAATAATTTACTAGTTTATTTGTAACATGGAGTTTAAGCTTTTAGTTAAACAATATTTCTTTGAGAATTTTCTTTTTTTAGATAGCCTTTTTTGTATCAGGAGATTGAGACTGTTGAGGAGTAGAAGAGAGGGATTGAATAATGTATTACATAAAGCATCTAGCAACACCAAAAATATAAACTAAATTATGCCACTGGTTATGTAATATTGATTACTAAAAAGCAAATAGTACAACAAATGGTTGAACGGATCAAAAAATCGAAAACATTTAACTAGGTCGTCCCATTACGAGTGTTATTTGAATAGGATAGGTATCTATATTAGAATATAGTAGTAGTGCAGAGCGTGTAATATGTAAATTAGGCTGAAATAAGAATAATTTACTCGATTCGATTAAGTTAATCCTCAGAATCGGCAGTCAGGACATGTAAACCAATATACTATGTTCGTTTGAATATAAAGCCAAAGTTTTCCTCATTTGCATATCGTTAAATTAAAGGTCTCCCAGCTAACGTTTTCTCCGACAATAGTGGAAATTAATTTTGAAAGGGGCGAATAGTGTATTATAGAAATCAAAGCAGGGGTCGAAACTTTATGTTTATTTTTTTTTGCAACGCCCGCGCCCGACCGATTACGTGTGATTACGATTTTTTGATTTAAACACCAGTTCAGAGATATGCAATATTGTGTTGTAAAAATTGTCTGTATATAGGTACTTACAGGATAAATACACCAAAAAACTCACATATTATAACATACACGCCCGTTTTCTACGGATGAGAAAACATTTTAGAGTAGGTTCACCGAGTTTTGCATAAGCACCATTATTACTGTTGCTGTCATCTGTCGTATTTTTTCGATCATTTAACCTATCCCAACGAATCGTTTCGAGAATCACGTCGAGTTAAAAGCACACAACGACTGCGCTTTTAGAGAAATCACACACACGCAAAAGTGTATATACGAGGACGTGATATATATATATATATATATTTATATACAATAAAGGTGATGAAGGTGTAAACGTCATTGTAAAAACTCTTCGTTTTATTCATTTTTCTATTTTTTTTCTGGTTTTTTCCCTCCCTCGTACAAGTAGGTGTTCAACACACACACAAATGGGTCAATATATACACCCGCCTGCAGTGGGATTTATATATATGTGTATTGTGTACACTCGCACCCTATACCTACTATGCCACTGCCACCTCCGAGCTCGATGTAAATTTCTACTGCCTCGTCGCCGGTAAAAGGCGTGCGGTTGACAAGTTTTGTTTGCTTTTTGTGCGCTCGGTGTATATATAATATTATTGTGTATAGTGTCACCGGTCCCTGGTCGTGCGACTTTCACGCTTTAAAAGCACAATCGTCGTCGTCGTCGTCGTCGTCGTCGTCTTCGTTTACATACGAATGATTTTCACACGGGTTGTTTGCCTATACATATATAGTTTACCCAGTACCCTTTTCCCCCAACCAAACACACACAAAAACACGTACACTGTTTGCACGCACGAACGGCGCGACGAAGACGTTATATTATAGTTCCCCTTCAACGCCGCCGGACTGGCTGTATTGTTATTATTATTATTTATTATTATTAATAGTAAAGGTAGTATAGTATTGCGTGTAGATCTCGAGCGAGAGATTTAATATTATATTGTAAATGTCTTGTCGTCATTCCTTATCAAAAATAATATATTATAATCCCGTTAGTCTTGTTTTCACTTTTCTGAGATAACGGTAACAGATAGGTATATTCACCATCTATCGCCGTGTTTATATACACCGCATTATAAACATACTATATATACATATATGTACAATGCGTCGGCTTTTCATCCGACTCATCCGAGTTGGGTTCCAAATTATTTTTGGTTATTTTGAGTACGGGCCGGATTTGTTTTGGTAATATTTCGGTTGGGTCCTAGATTTTCGATGCTTAAAATAAGTTTATCGTGGAGACGTGGAGAGGCAGTTTTTTTATCTTGCAATGGGTACCTACCTAAAATAATCTATTTTAGTAATGACTTGCTTAAAAAAAATATAAGTGTCATGAAAATGGTTAGGGATGCATTAGAATCATAATCTAAATAATTAAGATTATGTCATATTATTCCTTTTACCATTTTTGAAACATGAATATCTTATCACTCCGATATAGGTCAAAATATTCATAACATTTTCTTACTTAATTGATTATATTCTGAAGTATTAAATGCATAGTGAGATTCAACATAAAAATAAATAAGTATAAAATAACCGTTAAACAAGTAATAAATAAAAACAATTTAAGTTTAAATTAATTTTAATAACTTAATCTGTTTTTAACCATTTATATTATTATTATTATTTTTATTATAAGCGTTATTTTAATTTCATACATCCCTTTTAGTTTTATTTATTGCAGTTCAAAAATAAAGTTAATGACTTTTCGTATTTAGGTTAATATCTTTTCGTTCCTTACGACTATATAAAATTATTTCTTCCTGGCACGTACAAGTTGGTTAGTATGGAAATATAATGCTAAACATGTTTGTTCTGTTTATTGTATTGTAATAGAAAATTAAGCTTACCTGCTGTAGACGTTATTCCAGGCGCATGAGGTGACATGAAGTTTAATTTTGGAGAATGATGGTGATGGTGATGATAGGTTGTCATGAACAAATCTGATTGATATTTGTACGCAGACGGATCTGCAGCAGCTGGTTGAGTAGCTGCTGCCAACCCTTGAAAGTCGAACTTATACGCATACCTTTTTCCATGAACTTTCGTCATTATGTTTTTGTCGTAATAATACCTAAAAATCAATAAAAATATTTAAAAAACACTTTTTATGGCAAGGTAAAAAATAAATATTAATTCCAAAAATGAAGATGATAAATAAATAAATCGGTGTTAATATTTAATATTTTTAATTAGTACTAATACAAAATGAAAACTTGAGTCCGATAGTAATTAAACATATAAATTTTATTATAAAATTTACAGTTCACAATTTGTTTTTTAAATAATAATTAAATTTTAAACTCAATTTTGTATTATTATTATTTGAAAGTTCTGTGTACGTCGATTAAATATCAGGTGTAGGTGAAGTATACATGATGGTTCGTTAGGACTTAGGGTAATGGGAATGATTCGAGTCGTAATAAGTACGCAGTTGACGGTGAAAAGGTTTCCAAACCCACGATTATCAATTTATATCCGGAACCCCTTTTGAATCTCGTAGACTTAATTTAATTTCTAAATCAAAAACATTGAATGACTTTTGCTAATATGCGATATTGCGATATAAAATATTATTTTACATCATTATTGGACCGCATAGTGACGAAAAAAATTATAAATCCAATTACTAAAAATAAATGTAAATTATTGTTTGGTATTTGAACATTTTTTTTTCGTCATACAATAAAAACAGTGTAAATAAAATATTTAATGGTTAGAATCTAAAAAAATGCTGTCGTCTTACGGGATTTTTGTCGGAAACGCTTCTGGTATCTTTTTTTATTAAAACATATATTAAGACGGTAAAATCAAAAACGAAATGTGTGGATTAAGTGAGAATTCAGAGGCATCGGCGCGCTTACAGAATTAATAAACGTTTTCAGTTGTATCGCATTTTCTCCGTGGAAGAAGGGCGTGGGTGATTAACGCACAATCAGTGGCAATCACCGACCAACAACCCCTCGCGTACAATTAGAGCGCCCAAAGCCAGTTTCACACCCCTTCGCTTCCATACCACTGCTGCCGCCCTAACCATGTAATTAGGATATATTACACGTTCGCCCTTTGGTACCCAGTGGATGAGCGAATACGTGTCTGCCAGAGCACAGGGCATTCTATAAATCCAATTACCGAGGTATGTTAGAGGTGAATGTTATGAAAAGACAAAAATCAATATGCACAAAGTTAAATCGGCTGCATAATTATTTTGTTCAAAAGAGATCAAAATTGTCCAATAAGCATTGCAGTTAGATCCAATGTGTAATACAAAATATAAGTATAGACAAACTGCATTTTTAAACCTTCCTCGCCACTCACATCATTTTTTTTACAATAGATTAAAAAAGTAATTTTTTGGAATAATAGTTTAAAATACTGGAGGCCGGTAGATTTATATTATAACTGCTTAAGTTTCTTTTCCACCATATGATCAATATTTTGGCATACTAGTCCCTGACCAATTGCCCAAATTAATTGTATACGTTATTCATGCTTGCAGGTAACGGTAACAGTAACGGCAAAAGTAAATATTATGTTAATATTAGTTTAATTTACTAGATCAAATAGCTGGTATTTGATTTCATAAATTAATAGTTTTTTTTTAAATATAGTGTAACGTATTAAACACAAATTAATTTACCTCAATGCTCTGCTTAATTTGTCGTAGTTCATGTTTGGCTTGGATTTCCTTTCACCCCATCTACGAGCTACTTCGTCAGGGTCGGTTAACTTAAATTCACCGTTCGTACCTTCCCACGTAATACATGCTGCATTACTGCTATCAGACAACAATTCCAACAGAAATTGCCACAGTTGTATTTGACCAGAACCTATGTAAAGACATAAAAACATAACATTTTCAAAGGTTTGTAATATGTACGTAGTGTTGTACTATTTATATCTGTTTTATTAAATTTAATAACACCGATAGTTATTATAAACTTTGTATAATTAAATATTCTACATTTTTTTAGGGTTATTTTAATTAATAACTGATGTAAGAAACTTTGATTGTAGCAGTTGTAGTTTACCTAACTTTATTTCTAAATAAATAAATAAACTCCTTAATAATTATTATAATTACTTATAAGTTATAGGTAATTATTAAGTTTAAACTTAAACATTTTATCTTGGATACCATTCTATATTTGGTGTAAATGTAGGTACATAGGTAATGCGCTAAGTTGAAAATATAAGAAATATAAATAGACTCGTATTATCTTAATTATTATGGATACGCAATGACATAAAATATAGGGGCAAATGAAAAGTGTATCTGGTTGTCAGATAGTATATCAAGTAAGGGGCATCATAGACCGTGACGAATGGGTTGTAGCGAGAGTGTGGCAAAAGTCAATTGAATACACGCGAGCCGAACATAATTCAAACCAAAGCCGGAAAAGTGTCAAGTATTGCGTGGGAATATTTTTTACGCTATTAGACAACCTTAGTAATATTATAATAAACATGAATCATGTTAGTCATTAACATATTGAAATTTTTAAAATAGTACCCAAACTTTGCAGGATACTATTATAATATTGGGCAAATTATTATTTATTATAGAATTGTAACAACTAACATGTTGTAAGGTTGTAACCATGAAAATGATGTAATAGACACTTTCTATTATATACTCCAAACAAAATATTACTACATTATAAAAACTGTTTGTACTAAGTATTTTTACTTACTTAATTACAATATGTATGATATTTATTTAAAATTGATCAAAATTTAAAAACTTAAATTATAATGAAATAAAACTTAAAGAAAAGTTAAATATATAAACAGCAAGGATGGGTTTCGCGTCCTAGTACTAGAACATTTTTAGACATAAATCAGGTGATAATTTATTTTCCAACTTACCAGAGCTAGCTAATCGACTGCTGGTGGCTCCAAACATTTGATATGGATCTGAAATATTATAAATAATATTAAAAAACTCAATCGATGATTAATATTATACTTATAAGCGTATTGTTCACTAAAAACCGATCATTATACTAGATCATTAAGTTTGTAGAGACGTTAACCAAATAATTAATAATTGGTACATGGTGCTTTAATATTGGAAATAATAGACGATGTTTTCTTGATTTATACATTACAGTTAATATTTTTTCTATTAAATTCAGTTTAAATAATAATTTGTAGTAGATTGAACAAAGGGGCTAAAAAAATATCCCCAGGGAACAATAAAATAGGGAGTATGTCGAATTGTTTGTGTACAGGCAGCGCAAACAAAACCACTACCAAAATATCACCCTAGGGCCTATAATGGGAGACAAGCTATTTAATGATTTTTCGTAAATAATGGACATGGGATGTACACCAAACTCATATATGTCCAAACTAGTTCAAATACCTGAATTGTAATACTTTAAATTGCAAATATATATTAAGATTTAAGACTATCAATAATCGATATCACATACAAATTTAACTTAATCTAAATATACATTAATAAATTATATGTAAATATGGATGTATTAAATTTCAATTCAATAGTAAAATATTACACACGAGAACTATTCTGAACGGAAACGGTGTACTGGCTTCTATTTATCAGTATTGTTATAGCATTTTTTTAAAGGTACTATGGCTGTAGGTAGTATAATATGGCAAGTTGAAATATTTTTTGCCAAAATCAAACTGCATATTACTATTATCAACTTACTATTACACTTAATTTTAGTTTGGAATTTTAGCATAAACATATTTTAGAAGAAGTGATAACTTTTTCTATTTATTACAAAAAATATATAAATCGTTTTACCCAGTTAATAGTTTCTTAATAAACGTTAAATTTGATCAACTGTTTTATTTTAAGGAAATATTTCACCCGTAATACTATGAAGTTTGAATAAAAAAAATGATAGTATAAGTTATAAGAGATTTATTATTTCAAAAATTAATTTAACTTTTATTAAGTAAGAAAAAAATTGAAGTTCGTCTTTAATCATGCAATTCTTAGCAAATTAATAACTTTGTAAAAGTTATATTACTTTATAATATATATTTGATGTATATTTTGGCACTCGCTTGGATGAGTTAATTAGAAACTGCTGCTTCTATAAAATGTTGACGTAGTGGCCGGAATTGTGTTTTTTCCCGGGGGTCGTCTAATAACTTTGTCACGGAGGGAAGTGTAAAAAAAGGGTCAGTGAGTAAATAACTGTGACTTGTTATTCTTTCAGGTTGACTTGATAAGCGACGTTTAGGTTGCATTTTAAACGTGATACTTTTCGGCGGGGTCTGACATCTGAGTGCTTACAAAAACGCTTTAGCAGTTCCATTATCGGCACGTGGACTCGTGTACGGCCGTATGAACTGATTGACAGCTTAAAGGGATCGCGGGGGATAAGGTACATATAGTTAGGGGAAAAAGGGCGATCGTTCTTCTTTTTCGGTCCATAACTTGTATGTCAAGTACCACCTCTCTATAACCGCAGCCAAAGTTCATTATTCTGCCCAACCCTTTTTTCAACACATTTTTTTCCTATAACGGTTAACAAAGATTTTTTAAAAATATTCGACACACTACATCTAGGTTTAGTGCCGTCTCTTTTCTATAAGCCGATTTCTGTATTGAGGAGGGGGTGAACTCATATAATATATGAATATGAATATATGATATTAGTAATTAGTATATATTATCACTTTTCAATACGGCACAAAAAAAAAACCATTCCGCCCTCATTCATTAACAATAATCTAGCAGAATATAGTTGAACCGTTTAGAAGTCACTTGGTGGTAACTCGAACTTTGGTCAAAATTAAGACTTTGAGAGTGTCCATATTAGATAAATTTATTTTAAATGAAAAAACCGTAAAACCTAATTTTAACCCATTACCTTCAATAATATTGTCTCCAACGAGAAACAAATAATCTGTAAGCCGAATCACCAGGGAGAAAAATACAGTAAGTAACATAATGTTTTTAGGAATGAGTTAAATCAGTTAACTTTTTTTATCCCAAGGTTTAAAATAGCATACATGAGTTGTAAACTATATAATTTATTGAAATATACGAGTAAATAAGTCTGTAATGACTATAAAATGAATTTACCTATTTCCTGCTTTAAGTATCTGTGCCAGAGAATATCTGCAAAAGTAATTACCTAGTCACTACCTTAATGTGGATTTTCTAATTCTGATTATTATAATTGAAAAACGATACTTATCGATTGTTCGATTCGCGTTCTAACCAATAAATACCACAGCTCATTGTTAAGTTTGAATATTTCAACTCCATCTACACGTGTGTTTACATAATTTTTTCAATAACCCGGTATAACCGTGACTATTAACAAATGTAATATACCAAACCCAAATTACCAAAACCACCAAAAATTTCGTTCACGAAGAAGGCAGAACTGTTCCTGATAAATCATGATACCGATTTTGGAGGTAAAAAGGGTATAGTCCCACCCCGAAATTTCAAGAACATTTCAAGAACAACTATTTCTATGAATGTTGTTGCAAAATATACAAATTTGTATAGTCGTATATAGAAACATACCGCAACCTAAAATAAAACCTCCGTATCAGTATACTAAGCTTATGGAAGACCATAGTCACACTAACTCAGTATAAACACATTAGAATCCTCCCCCCCCCCCAAAAAAAGAAATGTTGAGTCGGCGTAGTGAAATATAATGCATGTGCATGGGCTAGAAAACCCGAAAACGAAACGATCAGTACAAAAACGTGATTTATTCCGTTTAGCGCTTTACGCGCTCGAACATCGGCGACAAAATCTGACCGATAAGTAACTACGCGCTTGTCGGGCTGTCTTTAAATCGGTGTAAAAAATCTGGCAGTCACCGCTGTCACGGTATATAAAATACGGTACAGAAACACATACCGCGCGTATATATATATATATACCATATTATCACAACAACGATATAATAATACGATCGGCGGCGGCGAGGGCGACACGGTCGGTTGGACATGGCAGTCGTCGTTGTCGTCGTCGTCGTCGCCGTAATCCCACGGGATGGATTTCGGGTTCGAGTTAAACGCCGCGCCGCCTGTTGTGTGCGCGAGTACCGGCCACTCTTGTTCACGGTCACTTGTTGGGGCGTTCGGCAGCCGCAGTCGTCAGAGGCGGCGGCGGCGGCGGCGGCGGTACGCTAGCGAAATCCGCCCACCCAATATATATTATTATTAACTATACGAGAAAAAGCTGCCGCTTCGCCGTGTCTGCGTTTGCGATTACGCACGGCCGGAGGAGTTTAATTTTAATTATAACCACCGCCTCCGCCGCCGCCCTCCATTATTGTTATAATCCCGTGCACACTCCACTTGTTCGATTTATCATAACAATAATATCGCCAACGACACTTTTAGTCGACTCGCGCACTCGTCGTCGTCGCACCGGGACGAGTATGTATTGTTGTGTGCAGCACTAATGGAACCGAAAAACCTCGCGTAACACATTTCCGACGAGATTCCGACGAACCGTTTTGTATAGTACCTAGTACTACCTACTATAATATATTATGCATATATACGTACCGAGTGCTTTTTGTTTTTCACTGTTTTTTAAACTCCAAATTGTTCGTTATTATAATATTGTATACGTCTACTTAATATATTTTATAATACAACTATACCTATTATTATATATTATTGCATATAATGAGTGTTGTAAGTCGACTACACTATGTATAATAATAATATGTAATGGAAGGCCGCGTTCAGGTTGTAAATAATTATGAGACATTTTTCGAACAATATCAAGATTTTTGGTTCAAAATCGTACAAATAAGTTTTCGGTTTTAGTATTAATAGCGTTTCCCAATATTTGCTTTGGTACTAAACCATCTTAATAAATATCTTATCCGTAGAACTATTATCCCTATTCACGTTTAAAGATATTAAAAACAATAATACTATAGTCACTGCCGTGTACCTATTTTAAAGTGTTATTTTTGTAGTTTTTTATTTTTATTTCAACAGATTTAAACCTCAAAATTTGAATGCAACATTAATTGTATGAAGTCCTATGCACTTCTTAGTTTTTTCCATATTATCTGGAAAATATTGAATAGCAACATACTTAAGGTTAGTTTAGATTAACATACTTATACGTTTAAAATTCGAATCTCGTAATACTCTCGACAAACTGTTTTGTATAATCTTATAATATGTACACTGTACAGTGTTTTTTATTTTTATCTACCTAAGTTTGAAATTTTAATCTCTAAAATTTGTTTCTATTATTTAATTTTATGTTATTTTTTAAACTAAATTTTTACATATTTACACCTAAATATGATTTAAGCAAAAATGTTTAAATATTATGACATATAGGACTCACACCATTAATCTTTTCGTAAATTCGTACTTGCTGCTATTTTAAATTTTAAAAATCGTTTTCTTTTCGAGTCTTTGAGCCATAATTTGATTAAGTTAAATTACATCAGATTTTATCATTCTTTATGCTATAAAATTTCCCTCATACTGACGAAATATGCGAAGCGTGTCCTGTCTGATTTGTTAGATACTTAGATGTGAATGTTAAAATAAAATATTGTATTAAAGCTGTCTTGAAAATATATATCTGCATGTTTTGATTGCATTTTCATAATATTATACGAAACTCACCAGACCCCAGACATTTACCAGCTTTTACAGTTGGACGCTTTTACAAAGGTGACGGGCCAGCCTAGGGCGGTGTTCGTAATGCGGTCGGTGGTATATAACAAACATGCCTTTGATGTGTCTAATCAAAACTCATTGAACCGTTGTGCCTGTGGCCTTTGACGGTGGTCGAATAACAAGAGATTATAATAGAATTAGATGTCCACGTTCGGTTTGTTTTATAACACACAAAAAAACCGCTCCGAGGTATTTATAGTTAATAGAGCTTCCATTTTTATTTTACGTCTGACAAGATATGAAGAGAATTATGTGATTCACTATATCTGAGTATCTATAGACTTTTATTGATACGATGTCTATGTATAGAAGATTTTATTATCAAACAACATAATACTCTTATTTATTAAAAAATTATAATGTTTTTTACGGATATATTATTTAGATTTTTTTATTTTTGTTTCGCATGTATAACCAATATATTTATTCAAATTTATTTTTCAATGTAATTATTTTAGTTTAATATTATTTTTTTATTTCTAGGTAGTAAATAACAACTTATACTTATTTATTGGTATCGTGATTATTTAACTTGTGTAAGCTTTATGTAAAATGTCTAACTTTTTAGAAGTTTGGTAAGCTTAAAATTAATTTCCAATACTACTTATACACATGGTAGGTGCTTATAATATACATTATTTAGATTACAAGCATGAAAATATTATATGGCACCATTTGTTATAGGGAAATTTAAGTGATAACCGTGACTTCATAATATCGTAAGATGCCTCGTTAAAAAATTAATTAGTAAATAATTATAATTCTTAGCACTATTTGTTATTTGCTCATTAATGAACGTTAATAGAACATTTATATCATTAAGATGTAAATTACCTTTCAATGACAATACTTATAATTAATGTATAGTGCGTATTCATATTTGTTTAGTCAATTTTTAATAATTTGATATAAAAGTATCGAATATTTTCAAGATTTTTCAACATACATTATACATTTTAAGTATATTTTTGGTCAATAAAAACAATGTCTTACACGTTTTGGGATTAACATCATATAGTTGGTTAATGGTTATTGTATCTCAAGATAATACTAACATAAACTCTCAGTCTCCCTTCCTTCTTCAAGAATTCTAAATCACTGGTAACTCCAGTAATTTCTCTTCTCTCAACAGCAATAAACAAAATTATGATTCTCAATGACTAATTACCGAACCATTAAAATTTTTCTCTCAAAAGCCTCAAAGTTAAATTCATAGTACCCACCTAAAAAAAAACTGATGTAATTGACTCGTGTTCTATTTATTCCAACATTCTACCTCAAATTTACTTTTTGTACTTATTGTAAACATTATATATAAAAAAAATATTGTTTTATTTTAACAGGTAGGTATACATTTATGTCTATATAGATACTACCGCTTATTGTAAGTATGGCCAATACAACACGAAAGTAATATACGAATACGTAAATAATTCTCAAAAAGGTTAAAATACATAAAAGTACAGGAATTAATCTTTTTACGAATTTGCAGTATTTTACTATAACGAGTATCACTAAAACTTACAGAAAGATATTTGCGAATTATTGAAAGAAAGAACTTCATACTTTTAATAAATTGATTAATATTTTAAAAATTAGTATATTTAACTTTTTTCAATTTTTTTTTTTTGTTTTTTATACTATTAAGTTGCTTTATGATAATCCTATTCAGTGAGAGAGAGAAGAGAGAGAGAGAGAGAAAGAAAGAGAGTAACGACAAAAAAAAATAAATGGATAACATCTACTTTACATGCAAGAAGAATTGCTCATCCATGCGGATGTTATTTGATTGTCTGTCCGAAACGGCTCAGACGATAACATTTTGATAGTGTTCGCACGTGATCAAGCGCATTTGTTATACTAGACCTTTTCACCCCTAAAATTGTTGACTTGATTGGGATGGAAAAAAGCAGGGAATATATGTTTAGTCGACGATCAAAAGGTAAGGTCTTTTTTATGATTATTGATTTTGCTGGACAACGTGACAATCATGCCATGTGTTTATTTAGGATAACTTTTTTCCCCTTTTAATGTTTTTAACGAAATGTTCTTTTCAAATAGTCTACCATATTCATGTTATCTGTATTGTGTATAGATATGTTCTTGAACTCCAGGTTTATTTTGCACGATGATATTGTTATCATTATTGATTTTTCATCATAATTAAATAATAATCTATACTACTATTTCATAAAATTTATCTAGGTATAGGTACAATTTTATAATTGAATAAAATTCATTTTACAAAATACTCAATTTTTGTGAACACTAATACAACAAATAACGTTTTAATAAGTTACGTAATTTATTTATTTGCATAATTTAATATTAATTAATAATTATATTGAAATTCAAGAAGAACAACCTGTGTATGGACAACATTTTTTCCTTAAGCAATTTTTCTAGTTTTGTTGTTATTATTTGTTACCTTTCAATTATTATTTAAGTTTAATAGAATACAAAAATAGGAAATCAAATAATTATTGTTATACATGTTAAAAAACAAAGATACTTAATCACAATAATTTTAATAAATTAATAGCTAGAAAAATAGTAAATGATCTGATTTTATTATCAATAATCAATGTATAAGTAATTCAGTCTTATTTATATAAAGTTTGTATAAAGTATTTGATTATTTTGTAAAAATTAACTTTAAATACACACCTTGTGTTTGCCCTGATGAATGTGTACTCCATGATCCTTTATAGTGGGTATCTAAAACAATATTTAATTACATATATTTTAGTATAATTGATCATAATGCAACATAATAAATAATATAATATTGTTCTAAAGTTAATTTATGTTATGAATACTTTTAATTATTTAACTTGTTTTATTAAGCACTATGTATTTTTTTTTTAAATTCAAATTTAAAACTAATAAAATATAATCAAACGCTGATTGTTGAATAGGCCTTAATCTTTCATTATGAGAAAGTGACAATGTTAAATATGTATATTAAACGCCATGTACTATTACATACATTTGTACAACTTCTGTTCAGGTTTTTCAGACTTTTTCTCATTATTTTTGAAAAGGAAATAAGGAAATAAGTAATTAAATATTTTTTATACACTATCTTTATCCATACTTAATATGTACTTAATATGTAATATAATTAGCATATTATTATTTATGATACGTCCATATAGCAAATAGAAATATGTCATGTTTTAGTAGGTACGGAGTGTTTACTATTCTGTCGTTCATTTTTGTACAGTTTTGAAGCCAAATTTGCATAGATAATTAGTGAAAGTAATTATAATATCAACTAAAAAAAACACTGATTTTACGAACACAATTCATATTCATTTTCTGACATCCCCAAATACCCATCCCCAAGACTTTACCTCAAAAATGATATATTTGAAGCGGAATTTAAGATTTAAATTATGAAAAGATATGGTTAAATGTTTGTTTAAATGATCAATAACACTTATTATAGTAGTAAGGAATGTTAAGAAAGTTATAGGTAAATACCATTAATAGAATAATAATAAATTAATAAATAATGAATAATGAAATAATTAATTTTGGTCGGCGAAAGAGATATGCAATTTCGCTACACATGAGTGTAGAAGATAATTTTCATGCGTTTGTATTATTATACGATTATAATATTTTATAATACCTTGGATTAATAATTAATATACAACCTTAGCATATTTTACATCCTAATGAAAGCTATACCTAATTCTAAACATTAAGTTATTTAAAAACTTATTTGATTAGTTATAACTTAACAGTTTATCATAATGTATTATATATTGTTAACTTGTTTAAAGTTTGAGATATATTTTAATATTGACCATTAAGTAGGTTTATGTACCTACGTTTTAAATAAGTGTTGTAAATCTTAATTATCATTTATATTTGTTTTTATCATATGACTTATTTAATTCCATGATATTGGAAACAATTTATAAGCTCATATATGTATTAAAGATTATTGGATAAATACTTTTGTACGCAGCTTTGTCTAAGATTCTATGCTGAGAGATGTATGAATTGGTTTTCTAATGATAAACATGACTAACGTAACCTTCAGGAGCAGTTAAAACTTTAGTCTTCAACTTTGGTAATGGTTTTTGGTAGGAACTTCAATTTAAAGAGTACTTTGAGGAGTCAAAAGTAAAAAACTTTCAGCTGAATTAAAAGTGATCGGGACAAACCAAAAATAAATTATAGAAAAACTGGAATATTTATGCAACATCATCAGTTTTTGACCAAATAAATTATGTTTTTGTGTTGTGACTTATGAAACAAAGAAGTGTAATGATTTGAAATTTTTTCTTAGTATACATTTTTTATACATCATATTATTTTCGTAAAATGTATAATAATTTAAAGCTATTTAGGCATTTGAGGATATTTACACACATTTGAAATTGTTTTTTTTTAACGATAAATATTATTTATTTTTTTTTTTTTTGTCATATTTATTTTTATTTGTACAATCTGTATAAAAATCAAATATTATTTATTACAATTTTTTTTTTTTTGGTAAAAAAGCTCGAAACGTAATAGAAGGTTCAATATAAGTTGTTCTTACACACATTTAAAATATCAACAATATATATAGGTATACAGTTTTTTTTAATAGACATTTAAACTTGAAAATTTTTAACGACATTGGATATTTAATCAAAAATTAACGATTTAAGTTATTTTGTTTCAATTTAAATTATACTATTTGCATAGGAAGGGAATGGAAAGTTTTTTCCTGTAATCTTATTTGCTATTCACAATTCAACCTATTCAACATTGCCTATTAATTATTTAATATCATTAACCTATTCACACAATTTTGTGGTCCATCAGTATTAACTAATAAGTTGATTACAAATCGTGTATAATAAACGAAATAATATTATAAGTTATAACAATGATTATACTATAATTTATATACTTGATGATTTTGGAAAAAGTCAGACTAATTTACCGCATTATTTGTCAATACTCAATAGAAAAATAAAATACCAATAGTATAATATTAATAAATAACATCCTTGGAAATATAGGCTGATAGACCTTATTCGCTTTGAACCGTCTTACATATGCAATTAATTATCACTGAATTAAAATTTAACATATTCATAACGATAACAGCGACCAAATCTGATGACGTAGATACACTCGAATCTTACTATACGGCAGAAAGACTAACTAGAGGTTTATTTAAGATTTTTATTTTTTTGTCATAATTTATTACTATAATTTTACATTAATAAAACGTACCCAGATACTCTAGGTCACTATTTTAGCAAGTATACACCATAGATCTAAAACGATGTGTAGAGAGTGTTAACAGTTTGTAATTATTTATTTATATTGGTTACAGACTTCAATTATAAAGCTACAAGAGAATCAATGTAACATTAAGAAATGTGACATTATATAAGTAGGTTACATGTGGTTGTAAGTGGAAGAGTTTAAAATATTTATTATTTAATAATGTCAATGATAATCTAATAATATGAACTTAAAAAACATAGAAGATGAAATTTCAAAATATTAATAACTATAATATAACACACCAATTATTAATAAACGAAGTCATATAATATGCTATAACTACAATAAGTACCTAATAATTATAAGATATGAAATAATTAAAGATTCGATTTTAGTCGAAATATTGTTGATTTGAAACAAACAAAACTCGTACCTAGGAAATACTGTAGTTATTGAGTTAAAATAAATTAAAGAATATGCTGTTGTCACTAAGAATATTTATTTAAACACGTACCGGCAAAAATCATTGATAAGTTGGGAAACGTCCCATTTCTGCTCAGGTAATCCGATGTTTTGATGTCCAACATAATTCAGCGGTAGATCGTTCACCCGATCGTTACGGTTATTTCTGACGGTGCCATACGTATAGAGTGTGTGCCAAAGGTCGATCTCGATTAAACCGAAACGGAGTATTTCTGTTATTATATATGTATATTATATTTTATTCTAATCGAATGGTACACGTGTGTCACTTTATACATATAAGTATATATATATATATCTGTAACGTCGGTGTATATGTGCCTATATTAGTGTGTGTGTGAGTGTGAAATACCTCGGTGGTGTGGTGACGTACGATCGAGAGAGAATGATATCAGACCAGACGCGATAGTACAACTGACCCGCTGGCAGAGTCGAGGTATCGCCAGCGCGCCGCGTAAGGGAGCCGCTCTCGCGACGACGGTGGACTCGCGTGGGGCGCGGCGTCGGAAAAATCGATGACGACCAATCGGGCACCGGCGCCCACGACAAATCACTCCCCTCGAGTACTTCCGGATTGGTCGGATAGGATATTGCGACGTGGAAACCGAAAGCAGGGTATATATAGGGGTAGCAGTCGGCGAGGGAGTGGGGAGGGTTGAGGAGAAAACATACGTGCCGTGTTTGCTGCCGTTCCCGTCCATCCATCCAACATTTCACTATGCACTCCCCCGTTCTGAATTTTTTTCACCCCGTCCTCATCCGTGTCGGCTAATAACTAAGTACGTTCAGGCATTCTTTCCTTCCTTCCTTCCTTCCTTCCTTCCTTCCTTCCTTCCTTCCTTCCTTCCTTCCGACGTTTATTCTTATCGTCTTTTCCATTAACGTTTCCTTCTACTTTAATTAGAACCACATAGCATTTTTTCCCCATTGTTGGTGAATTTATTTTCTAGTCACACCTAACAGATTTCATTAGTATAAATATTTTTTCAGGAAATCATTTAATATAAACACGATGTGAATATAGCGCACGTTAAATTACAATACATTATTTCCGATTTCTTACCTAGTTGAATGTGTTCACAATGTGTCACTGTTCACATTCATATTATACAATATTAGCACGTCGACGTTTTACAACGATTTTGACAAAAAAGTATTTGTTCTAATACACATTTAGGACACATATTGTATAGTCTTAAATCAGAGAAATCAGGGATAATATTGTTCCGTTTATATAATTTATTTTTTTTAAACTCTACCAGATGTTGAGCTATGGAATGCAGTTAATAATAAATCGGAATCTCTTCGTAGACGTCGCTTTTTTATTGAAAATAAATACGCCTAAGTTACAAACAGGTGGGAATCGCGTAATTTGTATAATTTAAAAAAAAAATGATATTCTGACTAATAAAACACAGAGATCAAAAACAGTGAGGACTGCGGATTGTTAAATCTTAAAATCAAATACTTATGAACATAATGTATTAGGATGATTAGGTATTAGGTACTCTTAAGATTTGGGACTTCTTAATTCTGTACATATTTTTGATGTAAATATACATAAAAAAGGACTATCATTCGAACGATATTGAATTTAAGTTAGCTTTTCAGCATTCGCTGAATCGGTAACCAGTATTTTTATGTTTAAATCAATATATGTACAGAATTAAGAAGTGCAAAATGACAAAAGTAATCTTTACTTATTTGGTATTCTAACTATTGTGTTCATAAGGATTTGTATAATATAATATTTCAACTGAAGAAAAAAAGAAAACTATAGAAAGATAGACTAACGCCTGGGCAGAGCCGGGTAACATAGGCATTATAAAAGGTCGTAACTAGAGGGGTTAGAGTTCAGATCCCCGCCCCCCAAAAAAAAATCTTTTGCTGGCTACTTATTGCCTTGCATACAGCTATAGCTAGTACCTAGCAGTAGAATACGTTTAGTTTCAATATACAAACACCGGAACACTACCTCAAGTGCTTTAAATGGC